CGGGAGCGGTGGGAGGGATGGTGGCCCGGAAGCCCCTTCCTCTGGGCCAGGAGCAGTGGGACGAAGGCTCAGAAGCCCCTACCCCTGGGCCGGGAACAGTGGGAGTTCAGTACCTTGGTCTGGTGGCCTGGTGTCCTCTGCGTCTTTGTAGTGTGGAATCAGGTGGCTGCCTGTCTGCCTCGGGATGATTCGGTGTCTTCCGCGTGACTCAGGACCTCGGCAGGGCGTGCGCAGACCTGCCTGTCTGCAGCGGGGTGATTAGGCATCTTCCGCCTGACCAAATTATTGTATTTTAAAGAGGTCTCCTTTAACATTTTTTCCCCTTTTAATCCCAAGTTTTAACCTTGCATTTTAGTTAGGGGTGGCTGGGATAACCAGCAAGCAACCTTGAACAACTGGTGTTTCAGTAAGGATCATAGAGAAATAAATCAGATGAAAGACCAGTGTACAGAACCAAAAGGGAGAAGAAATAAGATGCATTCCAAAATTTAAAAATGGAGCAGCTGTGGTAGTTCCTTTAGGAATTTTAGAGCAGTTTACCGTGCTGAGTTTTGAATTAAATTTTGCTTGAAACTGTTCTTAGAACACAGTTTGGTGAAGGCTTGTCTGTTGGCTGGAGTCCATGCTAGGGATATGTTTTGGGTCAGAGTGTGCTGTTTTGGGAGATTCCTTCCCGAATATCACCAGTGGGCCAGATACAACCTTTTACGTGGCTCCGAAAGCCCCACGTGCCAAGGGGTCTGGGTTAGGTCAAGATGCGGGGTGACTGCCCCCTCATCCGCATCTTCCCAATGAGCTTCTAGAGCTCCATCTAACTATGGAGCAGTCTGTTCTGCTGAGGTGGTTCCCTGAAGACGGCTGGGCGTCCTGGGCTGACACCTCCACTAAGACCTTCATCACCTAGGGCCACCCAGAGTGGGCCACAGGGAGCATTTGTCTCTTTTCTTCAGAGCCTGGAGACTCTCATGTAGATAGGTTAATGGGTCTGTTGATGCAGCCATCATATTTTCAGCCTTTATCAAGTCAATCAACATAAATGCAGACTAACAGACAAAAGAACACATGAAAATTACAATCAACAATCATCACAAACACAGACCAACAGACAGACAAGAAAACATATAGAACATATAGAACAGGTCAAACAATTACATTAAATTAGACTGTACTGTTAGATGTATTGCCCATATGGTACTACAATAATAAATCTTTTTTACTCATAGCTGTAATTTAGAGCAGTTACCTAGAATTCTCCCTACGACTTACTAATAATGGGACAGATTCTGGTTTCTTAACACATATGTTTTTCTTTTTTATAAAGCACATATGCCAAGCCAGGACACACTGTAGTATTTCACCTTGAGGGCTCCAGTGATACAGTCAGTCAACCTTGCTACTGAGGTGACCCAGTTGCGCTCCCTGCAGATGTCGATCATAAAGTGGCAAAATCCTGCTCATGGTCTCAGTCTGGCCTCCTGGTGCACATCTAGTATGCCACTACAGAAACCCAAAACAGCTCAAAGGGTGAAGCAAATTCCCTTGTTGAAACCAAAAGGCCTAACACCAGAAGCCCCCAAAGAGCTCAAAAGTCAAGTAAGAGAGCAAGGTCCATTGTTGGAAAGGAAGTTACCAGGAATTCAAAGCTGGAGGCTTATCACATTTTAGGGCTTATTTTTCTGCTCTACTAAATAGTGATAGAAAGCAACTGATGTTGGCCAAAGTGGAAAGATAAGGAAATGTCCCTTAAATAAAAGTAATCTGAGCAGCTGCATGGGACCATCCAATCTTCTCATCCAGGGTCAGTTAGTTGTGAGTGGCTAATGCTCAGTGTTGTACTTTTTCCTGCTGTGGCTTGTCAGATTTGTTACCAAAGTTTTAGGCAAGACTTTCAGCTCCAGGTCCGAAGAGACCTGGCTCAGCCACCCATCTCATAAGCCAGCTAAGGAGATGAGTGCTGTGAAGGGCAGGAGAGGAGCTTCATGCAGTATGGCCAACCTAGGAAGCACAGAGATGTTTAAGACCTGTCTTTGAGGGGCTGACAGAAGATCTGGGACTGATGGAAGACAAGGCTGCAGTCAGGGATGGAGCTGAGGGAACACATGTTTCTGGAAGTCCAGGCATGTGTGAACTGTCTGCCCACTCTAGTCAGCAGGAGCACACAGCTGAGAGACCAGATTTCTAACTTGACCCAAAGAGTAAGGGTTGGCTTCCATTGACCCTGAGTGAAACAAGACAAGGAGTAGCAGAGATTTTCATATGAACTTTGGGATCTGTGTTTCCCAAGGGATCACCAGAAGGGGTAGAGGTCCCCACCCAAAAAATGAGAGTGTAAAGTTGCCACAGAGCAGACAGCAGTTAGAGAAAAACCAAAGCAAATCTGAGAAATTTGGACATCCTGCCCAACAAAAGATCTGATTCCAATCCAGAGCATTTTAGAGAAAGAACCAAGGCCTCTCCAAATCAAAGACTGAGACAAATCAATGTCTAACCAGGACAATTAACTGGGCCCTGCCACTGCCGATTAGGAAAGGCCTGATGGATTCCCTAGCATCCTAGGGGAATTTGACATGAAGGATTCAGGGGAACGAAAAAAGGATTAGAAGAGTGACTGCAGAGCTGTTTTTCACTGGGGACTCACCTGTCCAATCTCACACTGTCCAATCTCAGTCAGTTACGGGGTCCAGGTGAACCCTGCAGCAGGCTGGAACAGCTCCACGTTGGACACCAAAATCTGTCGCCAGCTAGCATGTGCCCTTGCTTTTTAGTAATAATGGAAATTAAAATAAAAGCACAAATTTACAAGAAAAGTTTTTGTTGTAAAATTAGAGAGAAGACAGGAAAGGTCTCCAGCTTAGGTAGCTGAAATGGATTTATATTGGCCCTGAATTGTTTTTGCTGAGACAGGGTCTTCCTATACAGTCCAGACAAGACTTGAACTCACTTTGTAGCTCGGGCTGACCTCAATTTGTGATCGGAGGAGTGCTGGGATGTGCTCAGGAGTGCCTCCTGAGTGCTGGGATCACAGGTGTGCAACACCACGCCCGGTACACACATATTTTAGCAACTTCCTTCCTTACTGTTTGTGCATCTGTATTAGTCACTTTGCCATCAGTTGGAAAAAAATATCTGACAGGTACAACTTAAAGGAGGAGAGGCTTGTTTTGGTTCATGGTTTCAGAAGGTCTGGTCTGTTGTCGACTGGCTTCAAGGCAGAAATGGCATGGTGGAAGGGTGTAGCAGAGAGAAGCTGTGCAGCCCACGGCAGCCAGGAAGCAGAGACAGGAAGAGCCAGAGTAGAAAGATGTACACCCCCAAGGCACGGCCCCTGGGATGCTCTCCCTCCTCCTGGGCCCACCTCCTACCTGCACATTCAGCCATGAACTCATCAGTGGATGAATTCGTGGATGTGTCCCCATGATCCAACATGATCCAAAAGCACCACCTCTCACCACACATGAGACTGGGGGGACATTCTAGATCTAAGCCATAACAGCATCGTTGAGCTTGCTGAGTCTATCTTTGCCCCCTCAGCTCTATTTCCTCCATGGTAGCCATAGTGATGCTTTCCAAGTGCAAATGAAGTCACATCCCCCCTTCTCAAAAGCCTCCAATGGTTTCTGTCTCACCCAGAGAAAAATCAAAGTACTTGTAATTGGTTTACAAGACCCTGTGATTTTTTTTTTTTTTTTTGAGACAGGGTCTTGCTATGTAGTTCAGGCTGGCCTTGAACTCTGATGTAGTCCAGGCTGGCCTCAAACTTGCAGCAATCCTCCTGCCTCAGCCTCCTGAGTGCTGTGATTACAGACATGCCCCGCCATGTCTGGCAAGCCTGTGTGATTTGCCTCCTGCTACTTCTCTCCCCTTCGCCTGAACCATTTCAGATAAACTGGCCTCTTCATTATTGTCAAATAAACCATGCTTCCTCCTCTAGGAGCTTGCACTTGTTCTGTCTACCTAGATTGGATTGCTCTTTCCACAGCTATTCTCTCACTTCCTTCAGATCTCTGCCCAACTGTCACCTTATTATAGAGGCTTTATTTGTCTCCCTGTGCTTATTATCTCTGACATTTAAAACATTTACTCATTTATTATGTCTCTACCCATAGTAGTAGTTGTATAAGGACAAGAGCCTTGCTTTGTTCTCTGCTATGTTGCCACATTCCTACTTCCTAAAGTGTTGCCTGAGCCCCAGAAGTCACTTGATAAATATTTTTCTAATAAGTGCATGACAAATTTCAAATTGTAGCAAATGTAGAAGAATAATATCAGGTTACTGAAATGGAACAGCAAATAAGGAACCCTTGAAGGAACTAGGAATGTTTCATTTAGAGAAAAAAGACTTGGAGAACAGGATACATATCTTCAGATATATGTGGGGCTGTCACATGTGATTGCAGAAGTCAGATTGTGAATTTGACATGCTGACTACTTCCAGGTATGGAAAGCCCACTATTATGTGAAGCAGCCAGTTCTATTATTAAATTGTTGTGTCAGAAATTTATATTAAATAAACACCTATTTCTCTGTGACTTTCATTCATTAATTTGTTCTCTGGAGTTCCACACGGCAAATTTAATCCCCTCTTCACTTGCAACTGGGCAAAATGAGACAACAAGAGGTATATTTAAGGAAATTAGAAAACAAACAAAATAAAACAGGAATTTTGTTTTGCGCAGAGAAATACACATACTGTAAAATGACAGGATTGAGGGAGAAAAAGTTGTGAGGTTGTGAGAGTAAACAGAAGAAAGAAAGATAAGTTGATGGCTGTGGAGAAGAAGAACACAAATGTCCAACTTAAATGTCAGATTTTAAATTCCTGCTCTGTGGAGTATGATGAATCCTTTCCCAGGTAATTAATGAAATATCCCTTATTGAGTTGGATCTATTTTGGGAAGTATGTAGAAACCCTGAGACCAGTGAGTGTGTAGCAAGGTAGAGACTATCCATGAGAGGTCTGTCATATGCAGGTACACATGTAACATCCTTCAGTTACATAGAGAGATACTGGGGAAGCCAGGCATTGTGGCGCACACCTGTAATTTCAGCATTCGGGAGGCCGAGACAGGAGGATTGTGAGTTTGAGGCCAGCCTGGGCCAAATTGGGAGAGACTTTGTCTCAAAAAACAGAGAGGGAGAGGGAGAGAGAGAAGGAGAGAGAGAGAGAGAGAAGAGAGAGAATATTAGAAGAGGAAAAAGAGTTTTGATTTCTTTACACTGGATATGAGAATAACAACATCAGGAAATGGTAATATCTGTCCTTCTTTCCTAATAAATTTGCTGGCTCTATCGATATAATTTAAAATGAGATGATAGAATAAAAGTGTTTCTGTGATTATAAAATTACGTATAAAAATGAGAGATTATTATTAAAGTAAGTTAAAAATTGAATTAAATAACTTCCTTTTTCAAAAATTTTCAATTATTCATTTATTAGCCATTTATTGACTAACATTTAAATTCCTGGCACTATTCTAGACACTAAGAAATATTCTTAGATACTAAAGGTATTCTTGCCCTAGAGGGAAAAATAGTTAACTTTTGCCTATGAAACTTAGTACAACTTCTTAGCATAGCATTCATAGTATCATGTAACAAATTGTCTCATTATATCTCCCACAATATTTTCTTCCATAACCTATCTTCAGAGCAGCCACTTTAGACTATTCCTCTAATATAGGGTGCACTTTTAAACAGGTTGCCTTTGTACTATTAAATCAGTCCAGAATCCACTTATTATTTATTCATTCAACAAACATGTGTTAGACTCTGTGCTAGGCACTATGTTGGATGCCAAGAACACAGAGGTGAATAAAATATGATCACTGCCCTCAAAGATCTTAGCCTAAGAAGGAAGAAACATCTTTCTCTTCTTCTTCTTTTTTTTTTTTTTTTGGTACCAGGGATTGAACTCGGGACCTTGCGCTTTCGCAGCAGGCGCCGGAACCACTGAGCTAAATCCCCGGCCCTCTTTCTCTTCTTCATGTACTGCAATTCTTCTTTTTCTTCATACCTAGATGAAATCTGTGGCCTCTTGGTAGCTTTTCCAGATCCCTTTCCCTCAGTACACAGCTTATACTCACTTTCTTTTTTATTCCTTCCATGTTAAAGTGAGCTTTCTCTCCATCTAGATTAGGACCACTTGGATGGAAGTCATGTTTTACCTAGCTCTGTGTCTCCACTAGCAGTTAGCAAAATGCTTTAGAAAACAAAACAAAAGGGAAAAAAAACAACAAAAAAACAAAGCCTCAGCACAGTTGGCTGACTTGAAGAAAGAACGGGATATAGAAAATGTTATGGCTCATGTCTAGATGTCCCCGCTAAACTTCTTGGGATCATAGTGGGGCTTTTCAGAGGCGGCTGGATCTAGGGTGTATGATGCTGAGATCAAGGGAGTGTGATTACTAAATTAGTCCACTGATTGGTTTGGCATAGTTCTGGGTGTGGATAATGGCCCACCCTGGGTGTGGATGGTACCACCCAAATGGTGAGTAGCCTGGAAGGGATAAGAGGTAGAGGCAGGGCCAGGTGAGGTGGTGCATGCCTGCAATTCCAGCACTCAGGTGGCTGAAGCAGGAGAATCAATGCAAGTTTGAGGCCAGCCTGGGGTACATAGTGAGTTCAAGGCCAGGCTGAACTACATAGTGAGACCCTGTCTCAAAATAAAAAGGGGCAGGGTGGCTACTTCGCTGCTTTGCTGCCTTCCTGCCTTCTGCCTGTCATGAACAGTTTCTCCTCTGTGATGTCCTTCTGCCACCCTACCCTGCCTTGGAGCCAGCCAACTATGAACCGAAACCCCTACAAACTGTGAGCCAAAACAAACCTTTCCTTCTTTAACTTTTGGTATTGGGTATTTTGTCTCAGCAATGAGAAAAGTAACTAAAACAAATTTAAACTTCAGCTAGATGTGGTGGCACATTCCTTTAATCCTAGCACTCTGAAAATGGAAAAATAGGAACAAAATTTTGTAAATAGGGAGGGCTGGAGGGGTTGAAGGGAGGGCTGGGCAAGGGTGAAAAACAAGAACCAAGAGAGACTATGTAAAGGTGAAAATTTCCAATGATGAGTGTCATTATATTGTATACCTAAAATGTACCAATTATTA